GAGAGAGTCAAGGGGAGAGTGGGAAGGGGAAGGCCGGCGGCGGGGGGCGGCGGTGGAAGGAGAGGGGAAGAAGAGAGATCCGCTCGGAAGAAAAGAGAGAGAGAAAGCAGGGAAGAGAGAGAGAAAGAAGGGAAGAGAGAGAAGGAGAGGCCGGCGGTGACCACGGGAAGAAGAGGCTACGATGGAGATATTGCAGGAGAGAGAGAGAGAGATTTGCATGAGAGAGAGAGAGAGAGAGAGAGAGAGAGAGAGTGTCGGGAGAAAATGAAGAAGAAGAAGAAGGGTATGTTAGGTCAGAGTTATTTGCGACGACTTATTCGTCGCAAATAAATTTAAAATGTCGTCGCTAATAATAAAATATTTGTCATCGCAAATTAATATAAATGTCATCGCAAATACTAAAATATTTGCGACGATATTTTCTCGCCGCAAATATTTTAAAGTCGTCGCAACTAATGCTTTTTTCCCGCGCCTACTTTATCGTCAAATAAGATTATTTACGACGACAGTAAAACAATGTCGTCGCAAATAAGGTAAAACTATTTGCGACGATAAATGTCGTCACAAATAGTGATGACTTGTCGTCGCAAAAAAACGGATTACCTTGGCGCCAATAATCTGCGCCATTGAAAATTGCGCACCAATATTATTTGTGATGACATTGAAGTTATTAGCGACGACATAGTTATTTTATTTAACGGTATGTATTTGCGACGACAAATGTCGTCGCAAATGGGCTTAATTGTTGTAGTGATATATATCCCATAGATAAGAATTTAGCTAGCATTGTTTTTTCTCATAGTATGCCAATTACTTTTACTTGGTGTTTCTTAAAGAGTCCTCAAAATCAAAACTATATTCTTTTTTCCTAGTTGAAGAAATGATTTGATTAATTTCTTTGCACATTTATCCTCATCATTATATTTCATAAGTGGGTTCCCCACTAGGCGTCATTGTAAGTATAAATAAGCAAACTTCATTCTCTTTCTCATCAATATGTTTTTGAATTGGAACACAATAAATTTGACCACCCTTAAAACTATACAATTTTACGCGCTTAATCAATGCACATAATTGAAAAGGTGGTTACCTAGCTTCAGGTAAAAATTCAACGGGTCCCTCTCTTTAACAAGTTTTTCTTTCCCATTTTACGACTAGCTAGCTAGGATTGTCATCTCCTTTGACATCTAAATATAGTAAAGACTTTTGTTAATCTTAACCCATTGGTTTCTTTAATTTATTGGTCATCATTTTCCGACTAAAACAAAACAGAAAATGAGGACTTGTATATATGTATTCTCAATCTCAAATATTTCCTATTTACCGCATGACACAATTAGTTTATATATATATATATATAATTACACTACATGGTAAAATTTCATACCTTAAATTGAAATTTAGGAAAATTTTAAAAATATTGTAAAATTAAGAAAAATTACATCTTAATTATCATAATGATCTCATATTTTGTACTATATATTTTATATAGTCATTATTTATTCTTATAATATTTTAAAATTTTTGCTATATTCCAACACTAGCGACTATTTAAACTTTGCCTATATGTTGTTCCTTTATCTATGGAGATTGGTAACCATCTCTTTTCATTAATCCCTAAATTTTGATAGAAGGCAATATTTTATCCCACGTTTCTTAGTTAAGATGCATGTCAAGAGATCTTCTGATCACTCTCTTAATTAGCCGGTGTCTTTTGCAGGCATGATAAAGATATATTCTTATATTTCCCATATTTTATGTCATTTTTGTTGGTTGTTGAACCAAAGTAGCTAGTGTCTTCTTTTGACACAACAATAAAACTGTTGAAAATATTTTCTCTTGTTCAAATTAGATACACAAATTAATGTTTATAACAAACTTACCCCATAGGAACAGGAGTTTATAATGTTCAACTTTTAACGGGGCAATACGTGTGGAAAGGATAATATGTTTGTGTGTGTGTGTGTAGTGTACATACACGAGGTCATACGGCGCCCAAGCGTATCAATTTGGAACATTGAAAGAGTTGTTGAAACTCTATTATATCAATGTCTCAGTTGGTCAACTTTTAAAGAGATGTTGAAAATCCTAATGCCGGTTAGTAGAGTGGCAATTAATATGATTTTCTTTAACTAACTGATTTACTTTCCACTTCTTCATTTCTTAATTGAACAACATGATTAGTAGTGACTAGACTGAAAATTGAATGAAATATTGGGAAATAATGGAAAGAAAAAGAATCAACCTACCTTATCTTACAAATAAAAGACCGCCTAACAGAAGATACTGATCTAAAAATTGAAATCAAAGGGGTTTAGAGTAACTAATATGTATAATGATTTTTTTTTGCTTCTGGTGTATATAATGATAAATATTCATGATATTCAGCCCCACGGGCCACCAATCCAAAATGAATGGTTTTTTTTTTTTTTCTTTTTTTTTTTTTTAAATGAATTGCTCAAGGTTGAGTCCACATCTTTGATAATCATCGAAATTCATTTGTGTTCAGAAAGTGGAGCCTACCTTTTTATGCATACGTGTAATCCACAAAGCTGTCATGTGGATCACACATCACGAGCAGATACTAAAAACAGTTTTAACTCCAGAATTGCTATGGTAAATAGTGCGTGCAGTCGATTAGGGTAATAATATCATCTCTGCTTAGCTATTTTGATCGGTAAAAAGTTTTCAGGTTTTCTTTTCTTTTTCCTTTTTTCCTTGATTTTAGGGTTATTCAGAAAATTTAATATACATCAAATTGAATTTAATAGGTAATTTCTCAGTTCACAGAAAATTTTGACCGAAAATAACCAAAACACCCATGAAAATAAGGTTAAAAAGAAAAAAAAAAAAACCCAAAATTCAAAAGTTAGAAAAAAAAAATTCTCATGTTGGTTTTTTAAATAAAATTTTTTTGTTTTTGTTTTTAGGGTATTTTAGAAGTCAAAATAGATAGCTGATCTGGAGAAGATATACATTTGCTTATGAAAAGCAATATATATGAATAAAATAGTATACTTTTGAAATGATAGAAAACTGGGAGTATTACATTTTCAAAAATAAATAATTTACGAATTTTAGAATTGATCACATGGAAAGTTAATTAATAAAATATAAATAATAATTGAAAAAAAATGAAGAATTTAGTTTTGAGGGTGCATGAATCTGTACATTTTATCTCTTACTCTTGATAAATATTTTTTTATTAGTGTAATATATTTATCTCTTATTCTTGATAAATATCTTTTTATTAATGTAATTATTTAATTAAAAAGATTATAAATAAAGAATAAAATGTAAAAAAACAGGACAATGTATTTTTAAATGATATTTATCAAGATTGTCTATTTGTTTGTTATTTTGGTTTTAACCCTTGGAATGTGATGTATTTACATGCATGCACAAAAAAACGTATTCTTTTGAATACGATTGTACGTCGCTCGCTCTGTCATTGTTGCACCAACGCATTTATCTCATCTTTTCTGTTTTTTCTGAAGCTTATGCTCAGTTTGTTCTTTTATCAGCAAACGGAACAACAACACACGTACCTTTCATTCTTTTCCATATTTCCTTTTTCTTTTAACCCACAAAGAAAGGAAAAGAAGGACAAAGAAGAAAGAAACAATGGGCTACACAGAAGTCGAAGAGAAACCATCTTTTCTACATAGCACTTTTTTTTTCTTTTTTTCTTTTTTTCCGTTTGGTAAGGATATTATAACTAATCATTGAAATTCCACAGATTGGAAGATCTTTTTTTTTTTTCCTTTTTTTGTTTTGTTTGGGATTTACAAGTTGAAGATGATTCGCTATTTGTTAACTTTTTTAGTGGGGGTTATTTGTACTCTTGTATGTATTCTACCAAAATCTAACACGAATCTATAAAATTCTCACAAAATTTTTTTGGGGCTCTGGGTATAAAATTCGGAAAAACTAGGTGATATGTCACAGTTTTTATATATCTTTATACTCGTGCTTAAAATTTTTTTGTGGTGCAGATTTATACTACATTTGGTTGACTTTAGTAATTACTCAACTGGTGCAGATTTATACTACATTTGGTTGACTTTATTAATTACTCAACTTGTACACTACACACAAATCAAAGGCTCCACTATTCCTGGTATAAATACGAATGTGAGGTTTTTGTTTGGCATTTGGGCCTTGGCTTGGCTTCATAAAGCCTATGGCTACTGAGTTTGACTGGAGAACTCGTATGGCCATGGCCAATTGGGCTGGGCCCAGTGAGTGCAAGATTCATGGGCACTTTACAGGCACCACAAGTTTGGTTTGGATGTTTCATGCAAGACACATAAACTTTTACAAAAATGTCACTGCCAAATATACTTAAAAATCATAAAATCATAAATATATACATAAAAAATCATAAAATTCTTACAAAATCTAACAATAGTGAATGAAATACATAAAAATATAAATATAATTTTACTCGATACACAAAATTTAAATGATATTATTGTGGAATATCTTGAATAGTTTTAATACCCATAACAAAAGTCAATTTAATTTTAAAAACCATGACATATTACCTAAATATCTCCAGATTCATTTTTTCACCAAGCCTTTGTTTGAGATAGGGAACAAATTTTTTAAAGAGAAAAGTAAGTAATTTGTCATGGTTTTGTACATGTCTATTATTTATAACATTTTAAATAATTAGGTGTTAATGTGTTATTATAATCTTTTATTTTTTCTTTATTAATTGAATAATAATTGTTTATTTTTAAGTCGGAGTGCCTTGAGTGATATTTCTCGTTTTTTCCTAAGTTTAAAGCCCAAGTGAACAACCATCAAGTTTATCAACAAATTTTGCTTACAAGTTACATGTCAGATACAGTTGAGGTTATATGTACACAATGCATCATACTCGTTCTACATTTCCAAAGTTAACACAGAAACACAAAAGTAATACTTCCTCAAGGATAACTCCGAATACTAAAGTATTGAACACACATTGAGTGTAACAAATTGTCAGTGACACTAATCAAACATAGCTTCACCTTTATTTCCCCCCTATACTACAGCTTCACCTTTTTTTATTTTTAGTTTTTCTTATACTCAACACGGATCTCTCTAAAAAGGTAGTCAAACACAACCATTTTGAAAACGCTCCCGAACGGGGCTCAAGAGTCTTTCAAATCCAGTCCTTGTCAAGAATTGTCAGCTAAAACAGACAGACATTTGGATCCGCTTCATCAGAGTCAAACTCAACCTGCAACAAGAAAATAAGACAAAACCATTAAAGTTTCTAGCATCTACTCATCGTGTCGAGTGAATTTCAAAAGCTCAAATAACACAAATCCACCAAAATGTCACATTGGCCTCATAAAAAGACACTCACATTCTCATCTTTATACCACTTTCCATGACAATTTCGCTTCCACCCTGCAGCCGTGAACTTGAGCTCTCTCTCTCGCCGCTCCCGGTAATCCATAAAACGCTTCGCAACTTCCTCCTCAGATGCTTCTGCAGCAGGAAATGAACTACCCACAACACTCAACTGACAATTAGTAGTTCTATCAGTAGCAGGACTTGCACTCAACTCTTTGTCACCGGTTTTGTTTCTTGAATCCTGCATTGGAGCTTTGTTGCTGAGGATTTCCCAAGCAGATTTTAGCGCCTCCCCACTCACCGGCTTGTAATCAGGGGACTTAAATTTTTTGCTGCAAGTTGCGGAGTTGGGATTGGCATTGCCACCAATAGAGCCTAATAAGAATATTCTCTTATTCAATTCTTCTTGTCTGTCAAACTCTCTTTCATTTAGCCTGGACTCTGCTGTGCGGTGGCGCGATCCTTTGCAATGCGCCTATGCCAAAACAAGTTCTTACCCATCAGCAAAATCTTTGCCAGAATTGGGAAAATGTTAGGAACAAATAAGAAGACAAAATCAAAATACCTTATACCATGTCTAATTTCTTAAAATTCCAAATTAAGGAAAAAAAAAAAAACTAACATGAGCAGTTGTCTACTTCACATTCCTCAATGATCCTTTCCATTGCTAAACCTTTTATCAAGTTGCAAAAAAAAAAAAAAAAATCATTCAAAGGTTCTTCAAACTTGGCAAGGTCTCTACTAAATTAAGGACAAATTCGACAACTTTCCTTCCTTGTGATCCAAATTAGATATCAATATAACCATTTTAGCTTCATCAAATCATTAAAAAAACACAAATTTAATATTTTATGCTCTTGCAACAATCGTAAAATTTTCTCGCGTTACTTTTACAAGCATTCGATTTCAGTTGCAACATAATGTGATGGGGGGTAAAAAGTGATGTTAAAACTACGGAGTCGTGTCTTGTAAATGTTGCCAACTAATGAATGCATATAGTAATAGATGAATCGGAAAAAAAAAATATATTTTGAGGGAAAACTGGAGAAAGAATTAACGTACGGAAAGCATGAAGAGGGAATCGATGACGGGATTTTGGGGGCAGACGAGACAGGCATACTTGCCATTTGATAGCTTTTTGTAGGACGAGGCGTCGACGGATTCCGCAACCAGAAACTCCAATCTCCTCTTCCGGTGCTGCGCCACTCTTCCCCAGCTATCGCCTCCGAACACGCTCATCTCTCTCTCTCTCTCTCTCTCTCTACACGAAGAGCATGAGATGTCTATTTTTCTTTTCGGATTATTATGATCTGTGCCCTAAATTTTGGGAACATTTCCGGTCTGGCCAGAATTTAAACTCTCATTTTGTCCCTAGAATTATTCCTATTTAATTTACTTTATTAAAATTTCTGTTAAAAATAAATTTTTTTTTTTAAAAAGAGTGATGCACATAGTCTTTTAAAATAAAAAAAAAATCACTACTTAACCCCTTTTTTGGTGGTCTTTTCACGAGATTAGTTTGAGTATGATAAAAAAGTGAAATCGTGTTTGGTTATATTTATGTTTGTTTTGAGTATATGTAATCAATAATCTTAAATGAATATATTAAGTAATTAAGTAATTAATAATTATTTAGCAAATAAAAATTAATATATTAATAATATAAACATTAATGAGTACATTAGTAATTAAACTATATATTATATAAATTAATATTCTAAATAATTAAAAATTAGTAATTAGTAATTAATTATAAGAAATTACTATGTTAGTAATGAACTCATATTTATTAGATTATAAGTAATTAATTAGTGTATTAAGAAAAATAATTAGTAAATACATAATTTATTAATATTCCGTTTAGTACTTAAATTATTAACTTTTAGTTACATAATTAAATAATTAGTTAATTAATTACTAATATTTATTTAATAATATATTATTTGATATATCACATGATCAATTTTTGGTAATTATTCTTTTTATAATGATTAATGATTAATGATTAATTATTGATTAGTATATTATATATTGATAATTATAATTTAATATTAATTATACTATTTATTTTTTATTTACCAACTATTTACTAGTTAATAGATTATAATTAACATAACATATGATTGTTATATTAATTATTAATTATTTATTTAATAACCTATTATTACTTATTTTATTGTTAATATGTTATTTAATTAATTTTTGGCAATTAATCTTTAACTAATAATTATTACTTAATTATTAATTAATTATTTAATATAACTTTGCTGATAAGTACTAGAAAATGAAAACGGAAAAGGGAAAAAAACTTTCAATTGTTTTCTACTTTTTTCATAAAAATCATTCTCATTGTTTTTTTATTTTCGTTTCAATTTTCAAAACTTTTATTAAACAAATGCAATTTGATCGTTTTCGTGCCTCAAAAGACGTGCAGAAACGTTTTCGAAAATAACTAAAAAATAATTTCAAACGCACCCTTGATATCTTAAGATTTTTAACATTTTTTCCATGTTTTTTATTCAAAATTTTATTTTAGGTGATGCCGCCAAAAAAAATATCAGTAAACTGTAAAAGATAAGAATTTAAAAATGTATTTTGCATGTATGACTCACCAAGAACGTCGTTAATGTAGAAGGGGCCATGTTTGAGAGCCCAATCCGTGTAGTTGAAGCCGAAACGCGAGGGTTCTGAGCCACCCACAATAATCTTGTTGGAAGCAGCTTCATGAGTTTTGTTAGGGCGTTGCTACCAGCCATTTCCATGTTTGGGACGACGGTTGGTGTTGTTGGAACCAAACGGGCAATCCCGGCTCGCCGCGCAGCCTCCGGCAAAAGTGGAAGCCATCAGCAGTGCTATGGCGGCACAATGTGCAAATGTGGAATAACCCATTTTCAAGTGGTGCAACTTACGATCGAATTGTAAGAGGCGGAGTTATTTGAGAATGAGGAGATCATGAGTTGGTAGATATAGGTTCTTATATAGACAACAGAGAATAGTGAAAAATGGCCAAATTTGGCAAATTTTGAAATTTTTTTTTCTTGGTATGAATTAGGTTGGTAAAATAAAGATGGAAAATGTCAAACATGAACTCCACTATGTTTGTCCCCAGAGAGTGAGTGAGTGAGAGAGAGAGAGAGAGAGAGAGAGAGAGAGAGAGAGAGAGAGAGAGAAAACTTCCACTATATATGAAGTTGAATCTAAAAGTCAATATATTTCATCAAAGATGGCGCGTTTTGGCAGTAGGGAATCGACTTCACATAATTAGTAGGGATTCTTTTACCTAATGGTAAACAAAATGATCGTGTTATATAATCTAATGAAGTCAACGCTTTCAAGCTTGAAGACTTTAGTATATGCCTCAAGAAAATTTCTAATATTGATTTTGTAATAAAAGTAAATTTGCTTTTAAGAATGCTGTAGATAGGGAAGTTGTTTTTTTTAATCAATTAAATATCAGAAACTGCCCTTCCACCCAGGTTCTTTGGTAAAGAATTGAAGGCTTAGTGATCAGGTGAATTATATTGAATGAAAAAAGAGGTCAACCAGTACATGATATGATAATGGTATTAATTTCCTCATAATTTATATTAGCTAGGTTGACAAAATAAAAGCCAAACAATGCACTTGAAAGAGTTGCTGTTTTAACTGAAATTAGATTACATTGACGAAAAGTAAGTGGGAACTAAGGCGTAAAAATTTACAATAAATAAGATGCTGCTAAAATCTTATGGAATACGGTTGATGATATCTCAAAATTCTCTTCCGGTTAAGATTACAATTAAAAGTCAAAGGAGGAGTGATAAATACATACACACGTTTGGTTCATGTATTCAAAATCATGAGTCAGAATTATTCTCGTTTTACGTGTATTTTTTGTAAGAGAAAAATACTGTAGAGAAGCATGAATCATGATTCAGAATCAGGGACAAATATAAGAACCAAACATTTCAAATTTTCAAAACATAATTACGAGATAGCCACCCTCTTAAAGAAAAGCGACCAATGTTACACACACAATGTTAAAAAGGGTTATGTGGCCAGTCTAAATACAACATTCTACTAACCAAAAGTTACCATGCAATCGTTTTTCATATTAAGAAAAGCTTTGTTTCATTTAGTCTAGCTACACAATTACCCTTTTATCCCTCGAATATACTAAATAATCGTATCTTTGTCAGTTTATGGGTTAAACCTCGCAAAAGGTAACCCTCTAACGGATGAAAAAATAACAAGTGCCTTATTGTTTATATCCATTAACCAAATTGGCAGCACACGTAGCCATCATTTCCAGTCCGGCTGCTGGATTGGAGAGTAAGCCTAATATTCATTAGACATCGAAAAGAAGAAATTAAAAAAAAATGAAAAAAAAAGCTCAAATCAAGAGATGAAGAATAAAACTAACGGATAACATGCTAACATTTTAACGTGCAAATTTTTCCTGAATTGATTAAACATAAAAAATAACGTTCTTTAAATAAGTATATTATTTGAAAGTTGAAATTAATTAGTCTACAAGACGTAAATAAAGCATATTTATAGCACTTGTTATTCAATTAATGTAAAGTACACTAAGACAGAAAAATGTGTGATTACATAAAATTAGCACAAACAAATCGTCCAAAAGCTAATTTTTTATTAAACAAGTGTACCATACAAGTCTATTAAATAAATCCTCTCAGAACAATCACAAAAATTATTACATCAAAAGAAATAAGAATGTTGCAGATATAAGTCACCATCTAAACTACACAAACTTTTAATTACTGATTATTTATGCTTGAAAAAAAAAAAAAAAAAGAACTGATTGAAACAAAACGACCTATTAGACTTTGAAATAAAAAGCAGGGGAAGTCATGAAAACAATCAGTAGTATTCTGATCATTTTCTTATTAACTAACTAACTGATAGAAAGCACTCGTATTCATATTGCTTCTTAGTATTTGGTTCCCTATTGGTTATGTACGCCAGGCACGAAGCATAGGCATGACATAGAACTTCATGCGTCCGACACTGCAATGGAAGCCATTGCTTGCGCCACAAGCAAAGTAGTAAGGCTGCCACTTGTCCAACACGAACTCGAAACCCTCTCCGGAACCTTGCGTCTCGTTGGCGATCTGCTTGGCGTTGCTCAAATTGCAGTTTACGTAGCTCTTAAGGTCAGGCAGCAAGTATACATTATGCGGATGCGAGTTGCTATCAGCTGGTGGGTCGTACTTGAAAACTGTCAACATATCCAAGAAAAAAAAAAGGAAAATTGTAAGGGATTTACTTAAATATAGAAGTCATCATATATATGTTGATACGCAAACACATCACGTCTATGTATCTTTTTTAGCTATATAGGCGGCTCAACTATACCAAAAAATAAAAAATAAAAAATAAATAACTAGTACGTGCTAGAGCTGCATGAGAATTCCACAAACACTTACATATTGCTACTGACATAAAAATAATTCGTTGATATTGCAGAATTATAGTATTTATATGTAAATGTGATTTTAATGGCTACTCTAATATTTATATGTCCATCAATTGAGAATTGCTTTTTTAATTATAAGATATAATTTTGTAGTTACTTAAAAAAATTTAAGGTAATTAATGAAATTTACATCATATCATCAAATTACCATCAATAAATACATGATAACCACTGAAAACTTGTCTTTACGTGTTTGTATATATATATATATACATAATATGAATATATGTTTGCATGAAGACATATTGTATAATATATATAGAGGTAGCTAGGTAGGTTACCAAGAGTGTCATTGAGGTAAAAAGGGCCGTGCTTGAAAGCCCAGTCTGTGTAGCTGAAGTTGAAGCGCCAGTTTTCGGAGCCACCCACAAGAATCTTGCTAGGAAGTACTTCTTGTGTCTTGTTTGGGTGGTGATGACGATACCACCACCCACGATGCTTGAGACGCCAATCTGTGTAGTTAAACCCAAATCTCCTATCCCTGTTGGCCAAACATGACCCTGCCAACACTGAAGCAAAAAGCATAATTGCAAGTGCCTTCATTGCCAAAGAGTTAGTACTAGAATAATGTCCCATCTTAGTTTATAATCTTAAGATCAAATTAAGATGAGAAATTATATAAGAGGGATGTGCGCGTGTGTGTGTGTGTGTGTGTGTGTATGTATGTGTGTGTTACAAAATATAGAAAGAAAGCATAATATTTTGTAGTACAATTTGTTTGGTGTTAAGGGGAAGAGTAAATGGCACATATATATAGGGGAAGAGATCTTAGAAGAAATGGAGGACGAAGTCGTAAGTAGTACTAGTGCAAAATGGCCAAAATCGCGACCCTTTTTTAGAATGGGTTGGTGTAAGAGACCAAATATTTTGAGATGAATTTTAATTATTCTCCCCAAGTCAATCATCCACTAATTGTCTCCTCTTTTCTAAGTGCATAATTACAGCTTTCCAATAGTCAAACCGACTTAATTTTTTTTTTCTCTCTTTCTCATTTGTGGATCAAATTTATGAACAAAGACATGGATTTTCGGTATTATAATTGCATTTTGTATTTTTTAAAGTAAAATACTATAACTAAAAGAAGATGTTTAGAATTTCTTTTCACTCTTAGGTCTTAGCCTTATATACTAGAACAAGAAATACAAGAATAATTATCCAGCAAGGCTCGGTCTAAAATTTTCTATCTTTTCAGTTGAAATTAGAAAATTTGTTGTAAATTAAATTAGACTTATTTTGGAACCACCCAATATAATATCGTGAACCTTTTTTTTATCTTTTTTGGTAATTATATCGTGAATCTCTTGAAATGTGGTTATTATTGTATTGGGTTGCTTTTTTCCGCAACTTCTGCGAAGACTACTGAAGGTTGAAAACATCGCCCAAATAAGGTCAAAAAATGGGAGTCGAAAACAGAATAAACAAATAAAGATATGGTACGTGCGCATACTAATATGGAAGAAAAGAAATGGTGTGTTAACTGACTTGGAAAGATGGAAAACCATAAACGTATATCACGTACATATTCTATGGCATGTGTTCTCACACTCCTTTTTTTTTTTCTTTTTAATTTTTTTATTATTTAAGTGTCCACACGCCTATTTCTTAGTATGTGGATGCTTTGGAAAATTACTGCATAATACGAATGCATTACGAGGTTATGACGTATTCGCTTCAAAAATTTACCATTACCTATACACACTCGCTGGATTCGTGCCCTAATTTCCCCCGTGATTTTCCTATTACGTTTCTGCTTTGCATATTTTCCGAGAAGGTAACTATTTTACTGTTCCTAACTTCTGTAACTCGAGCATGGGTCGTCTTGGATATAAATTTTGTAGTTGGGCGACTCTTTTAGATTGCTGAAAATCTGGCATTAATGAAGACTTGAAGCATGTAAAGAATGAGTTTTTTTTTTTTTAAAGCGTTATTTGCCCCTGAGATCGCTTACGGGTTATGACAGCAAATTGCTTACAAAGAATGTACTTTTTAATCTGTTCCAAAGAGAAATCTTCTGAATTGTGAAGAATCATTTTCCTGCAAGTACAACCTTTCCAAGTTGATGGTAATTTCGCTATAATTGTCCCAACTTGAAACGGTTCAGCAAGTTCAATTTTCACAGCCCTCAATTCGTTAACAATATTTCATGAACTTGAGGCAAAACGGGTTTATCATCAATCATTTTGAAATAAAAATATTTCAAGAGTGTTGGTGTAGAGATTGTGCAGATGGTGGTCTGACAGAGCATTCCAACATATGAGCTCATCTTCTTGTTGCTTCTTTCGTTCTATCTTCAGTTCGTTACTGTCAGTGTCTGCATGTTTTGGAATTGGTTCTAGAGCAGGATTAAGAGCATAGTAAATCTTCAGAGTGGTTAACAGGAACTTCAATATGTCTTGCCAACAAGTGAAATTCATCCCACCAAACCGGTCCAGTTTCACCAAGTGATCTTTATTCATCATATTGGTTGTGGTAACAGTAGTTTCTGTCTCTATTGAAATAACGCTTTAAGATTGTTGAAAATCTGATAATGAAGACTTGAAACCATAACAAATACGCTTTCCTTAAAGATTATTTGCCCCTCTCCTCTGTGAGATTGCTTACGGATTATAATAGGAAGTAGTAAATCGTTGTCAAGATATGACAAGCCATTCTATGTGTTTCTGCTCTAAACAAAAGTAAAAAACACCAAGAGCAGTGAACACTTTTTTTGGAGGAGAGAAAGTAAACGAGATTAAGTGCCAAGTGCGCTTAATAAGCGCCAAAAGAGTCTCTATAGCCTCACTGCCCATGCAATGCACGTGAGTCACAAGAGACTCTCTTGTTGCCACTTACATCAACTCACTCACTTGTATGGTATCTTATAAAGTGCTACTCCACTTCATAAGTTTCCAATGTGAGATTTTGGTTGTCAAGCTATAGGCCTTTATATATTTAAACTTAAACAATTCCAACAGTATAAAAATGTCATGATTTTTTTCTCGTGATCAATCCTTTTCTATTGGGTTTTAGTTAGAGGATTTTTAACAAGGCATATTTGTAGCTAACTTTCCAGTGCCCCGGGGCTGTCCCGGGGCTGCCCCGGAGCTGAACTGGGGCAGTCCCAGGGATGCTCCGGGGCTGTCCCATGGTTGTTCCGGAGGCTGTCCTTGGGGTAAATCTCTACTTTATCCTTTGAGATTAGCTCCTGGCTTGAGACAATTTTCTTAATCGTCTTTTAGGATGTCTTTTGTATATTAATTTGGTGTTCTCCTACTTATTTTCTGTTCTTATTAGTAACATTGAAGTGAGAGACTTGCTATATGATAGATCAGAGAGAGAATGTCAACTTAGATGGTATACTTTCTTTTGTCAAATTTCTAGATTATTAGAATAAAAACAATCAGATGAATACCTACGATCTATTAAAAAAAAAAAAAAAAAAACAATTCAGTCCGGGGTGATACCTAAAATACAAGTCATGAGTACACATATTTGGTAGGAAAAAGGAGAGGTACATGGGTGACAGTGGACTAGGCAGTAGAGAAATGAGGAGAGAACTCTACGCGACTTTCTATGACGGGAGGGATTCTAATCATGAGCAACGGTGACAAGGGGTGCACGGCCACCGGAAGTGAAAGGTAGTGGCAGAGCTACTTGGAGACGAGTGGGCCCCACCTGAGTTTTTTTTTTCTTTTTTAAATCAGCCTTTAAAATTTTGATTTTTTTTTTTTGGTTTTGTTCCATTGAGATACAGTTTTTTTCATGTACACTCCTACTGAATTTTACACATTTTTATTACTTAAAAACAAAAATATATGTCCCTACTGAAATAGATTTTTGACTCCGTCACTAGTGAGAGATGAGGTAGGCCGTTGCCATGGGGAGGGCATGAACTCGGCGCAACCGCATGTTGAAGGCATACGTGGCTGCCAACGAGGATGGCGTTGTTCACCTATGATGCATTTATAGTAGAAGACCACGAATGCCTTAACCCAAATATGTGTCTCTTCTCTATAAAGATTAATTCTACATGATGTTTACACTCAATCTCACTTTAATTTTTGACTTTTCAAACGTCACACAGATAGTCTCTGAGGGTTTATTTTGTTTCAGTTTCAGCCCTTTCATCAACCAGACGTTAAAATTTAATAGAATTTATATAAATTATAGTCTAAAATTAGAAACAGCTAAAATTTTTAGTTTATATGTGGAAATTAATTTTTAATTTTTTATATTATTTTAGTCTCTAAACTTTATATGTTTCTAATTTTAGTCCATAATTTTTACAAATTTTGTCAAATATTTACACCAAATTAGCATAAGGATTGAAACTAAAACTGAATAAAATCTCAAAAACTAATGACGTTTAAAAAGTCAGGGACTAAAATGAGATTAATGTTAAACGTCAGAGACTATTTGTGAGATTAACCCTCTATATAACCCAAATTTAGTTTTCATTATTCTTTTTTTTTTTATTTTCATTTTAACTTTTTCTTTTTCTGATGAAATTATTAATTTAGAGATGATTAATTAAATGGATAAAATGAACATTTTATATTAAAAAAAATAAGTCTGCCATATCTAGATGATGTTTTCTTAAACTATAATACTATTTTTATATTACCTAGTGCACAATATAGTCTATGAGTTTCCATAGTCGTACATATGTTAGATTTTGGCTTTCTTAAAACACCCTTCAATTTTTTGAATTTGGCTATTCCCTCTTTTTATTTTTTCATAGTAATTGCCCCCTCAACTTAAAAATCTTTGAAGTTATGATCTAATTGAAAATGGTGTTTATTATTTTGTACGATTTTGATCACGTGACATGCACATGAACATTTATAAGGGCAATAAAGGTCATTTCTCACCCTTTAAGTGTCTGTTACGGGCAATTACCATTGAAAATTAAGAGTTATTTTTTTTAAAGTTCATTTTGTTACATTAATATAACAGAACTTATCCTTCATAGCAATTCACCCCCTCAACTTAAAAATCTTTAAAGTTATGATCCAATTGAAAACGGCGTTTATTATTTTGTACGATTTTGATCACGTGACGTGCACATGAACGTTTGTGAGGGTAATGAAAGTCATTTCTCACCCTTTAGGTGTCTGTTACGGGCAATTACCATTGAAAATTAAGAGTTATTATTTTACAGTTCATTTTGTTACATTAATATAACAGAACAAATAGAAAAAGAAATGACTTTCATTACCCTCCATGAATGCTTATGTGTACGTCACATGATCAGAATCATCTAAAAAACAGAAACCGGTCTCAATTGAACCTTAATTGCAAAGATTTATAAGTTGAAGGGGTCAATTGCTAGGAAAAAAAATAAAGATCAAATTGTCAAATTCGAAAAATTGAGAGGATGTTGGTATAAAAAAGACGCTAGATTATGAATAGACAAACATTAGTTCATAGGTTCAAACCATAAAGTTTGAATAAAAATTTAAATTTTTATGAGAGAAGACACTGTAAAATAAATAAATAAATATTACAATTCAAACCTACAAAACAAACAAAATTATCCAAATTTCAAATTCCTTTTACCCTTGAAATTCTGAAGACCGTGTCCAATCTAATATATTTTCATTCCTTTAGAAGTTTTCTCCCATCACTTTTTCATTTATTTGTTCATGTTGGAAAATTGATCTCCTCTGCGATCTCTATTGTTAGGTCCGTTTTTATCCTGGTGTCACAAGTGGTGTTGC